TTTTTTTTTGTTTCTCAGAAAACACTGCGAGGCTTCATTCTTTGGAAGATCAATTTTAGAACTGTCAGTAGGGAAAAAGAGGGTAGCGCTTTCTTATTGTAACTGCCTGAACTTCTTATACGGGGTAGGTACGAAGTCATTTAGACAGCTAAAATCATATTTTCAACAATTATATTGATTCTTTCACGACTTTTATGCTGATCATCATTTATATCACTGAAAATTGATAGGATTTATTTTTCGTACATCAGTGCATTTCGAAAATTCAAAAAAAGTACCCGCTAGATACCTCATGTTTCGATCTCCATCGGCCGTCAGCAAATGTAGGTTATTTAGGCTTTCGTTCGTGCTGGAGAAAACTTTGGACACAGCGATGACCAGCCTCAAGAGAATGATCACCATCGCGAAATCATGGACGAAGAAATGGATGAGGAAGCAGTAGAGGACTCAATGTCTTCTGGAGAAGAAGACAATGAGGAACGTACTGTGGAAGATGAGGAAGGCGATGATCGTGAAGAAGATGACACTATGGATGGTGAGGAACAAGACGAAGAAGAGGAAGAGGACGATGAGGATGGAAGAAGGGAAGGAGAAGCCCAGGCAACTGTTAGAGTTGATGCGGAAGAAAGTGGGGAGGATGGTGAAGAGGAAGAAGAGGACGATGATGAAGAAATGTATGATTATCCCGAAGAGGATGAAGATGCGGTAAGTTTTTTAGGAGCGTTCGTTTCTGTGTTCGAAATTTGTGATTCAGCTTCACGATTTATCGTTCGAATTACTCGATCGTCCAGGTCTGTCTTCACTAGGTTTCGACGATTTCATATTTGGACCTCCTATAGGAATCAATAGGTTCGTTGCCTATATTTTATGTAGACTAACATAGTGGAAATTATAGAGAACACCGCGGTGCCCGAAGAGAACCATCCAGTGCTGGTGTCCACCCGCTGATGGTTCGCCCAGCACATATAGCCGATTCACAACCCACAACCAACCAACAAGCAGCGCCCACGGTCAGTCGGCTAGAACGCATAGCCAGGGTAAATCGTTCTTCCTCTTTTGCATTTTACGTTGAAAAATTGGATTGGGAAGAATGGATAATTCTGGTTTTGTTTTCTTTCTGCACGTGCTTAGCATAGACGTAGACATCATGCTTGTTTGTGAAGTTGATTTGGGGCAAAAGGAGAAGTATAGAGAGTTTTGGATTTCTCTTTCTTCTGCGACATTCACTGCATCCGCATTCGTTTAGTTAGACTTCTCCGCTTTACGTTTTCCCATAGTAGGCTAGTTCTTAATCGAAATATTCAGTTCGGAAACTATCGCAGTCTACTGTTAGACGGCGGTGGGGCAAGGATACCTGTGGCGCTTACACGACAGAATGCCATTCGTCGAATAGGAGGAACTGATCGCGGTTATGTAGGACCAACCAGTCAACTGTTTGATAGGTTGTTTGATCTACACGCACGAGATCGGAGTGGTCCGGTTATGAATGTGAATGGACGCATTGTCAATATGGTAGGCGTATTGATTCTTGCTTGGAATGCAGTTCTTCTTCGAAAAGCCATTCAGAGTTCAAACATGCTGGACAGTCCGGAAGAAAGAAGAATGCGGCAACCAGCATCTGCTCCTTCAGCTCTTGATAGATTCACCGATGGGGCTGATATGATGGATGGTGTTTCCCTACAATACGTGGCCATAATCATTAACACGATTGTTACGAGAGTGGCAAGAAAGCGCGTTGAAGAGGTAACTTTTGAATTGTCCTTCCCCTGTGAAGATAAGATATCCCGTTATAGGAGAAAGCTAAAGAAGCTGCTGAAGAGGCCGCTAAGAAAGCAGCAGAAGAGAGCAACAAACCTGCATCGTCCGAAAATGCTCCGTCTACAAGCGAAGACGCTGGAAACACCAATGCTACAGCAACGGTGCTTGCTCATCCACCTACTGAGGTAGCTCGACAGGCTTGGGATGAATCAGTGCAAAACAATCGTGAACCGGATGTTACCACTGCACTTCTGAGCGCGGGCGATAGCGTCACGGACAGCACGTCAGGCCTGGCTACAGCCGATGGAGAAGCCATGGATACGTCAGGTAATAGGTTTTTTTGTTAGCATGAAGAGTATGCCATAGTAACAATTTCAGAAGCATTCGAACCGAGGGACGCTGAGGCGGACGTCTCCATGGATGAGGCCCCTCCTCATTCTTCCGCGGCCACTGTGGCCTCCTCTCTACCTGAAGCAGAAGCGGACGAAGAGCGAATGATCACTCCGCCATTATCAACAGCTCAGAATGCAAGCAGAGAAGGCGAAGAACATCCAAGTGATAGGTAGGTCATAAACTTGCTATTTCGTTGATGCACAAATATGGTGTATTGAAAATGTCGTGCTTCTGATAAACGGGATAGCTCGTAGGTTTTTCACCAAAAAGAAAATGCACTAGAACCTGTTCTGAACTTCTTGATGCTTTTTAACTCTCCACTGATATTTTTTT